CCTTTGTGGTAATTGTGGATTGATAGTTACCATCTTTTAGGATACTTCTGGCACTGTGCTGAGTTCCTCACATTCACTATTTCATTTAATTCTCATAGCAACCCTATAAGACAAGCATTGGCTCTCATTAGTAATAAGAAAACTATATAGCTCCAGAGAAGTTAAGTGACTTGATTAAAGTCACACATCCTGTAAGTGGCATAGTCAAAACTAGAACTCAGAGCTGTTGGACACCAAATGCCAGTTCTTTTCTGTGATCTAATGCTCTGCCAAGTGCTCTGAAAGAGCCTTCATATGATTCCAGTTCAGGGCAGTGCAGCCGGCAGGCTTCTGTGTTCAGATTTATGCACATAAAAAATGAAAATGTCTGAAGTGTTACAGGGCACCAGCGACGGCAAATACTGTATAACCAAGAATTTACAGGAAGCAAAAACCTTCCCGGAGAACCAGGCTTGCAAAACTCAGATAAGCGAGTGGCCTTTACTGACAGTGATGTACACAAATAACAGTAAAATGACTCACATTTGGGATTGATTGGAGATACCATCGGTAGCTGTATCTGTGAGAAGTGGAAATTGGAATACAGCAAGTAGAGCTTTGCAAATGTGCCAATGCTTACTCCCAGGAAGCAGCAGAGAAGCTGTGTGGACAAGGACTCCAGCTACCCGATTTGCTGTTCTTTTCCCAACGTTTCCCTTGTAATGTTTATTGAGGGCCGGTCTACCACACACCAGGTCTAGCTCTGTGCTGCCACTGAGGATAAGGAAATGAATGGAGCATGGGCCTTTCACTCAGGGCTCAGTAGGACCCCACTGTATACTTGGCACTTGAGCAGAGGCCATGGCTCCTCATTCTCCAGAAAGGGTTTTGTTATTCAGCTTGTTGCTGTGACAAAATGCCTGACATGCACAGATGAAAGGAACAGAGGTTTATTTTGGCTCACAACTTCAGAGGTTTCAGTCCATGGGAATCTAGCTCCAAGTCAGTGACATCATGGTAGAAGGGCATGGCAGAGGAAAGCTGCTCACCTCATGGCAGCCAGGAAACAGAGAGCAGGGAAAGAGCCAAAGAGAGAGGATAGGGCTGGGAACAAGGACGTACCCTTTCAGGTCAAGCCTGCAGTGACCTACTTCCTCCAGTCAGGGCCACCTCCTAACAACACATTCAGCTGAAAACTCACTGTGATCTAATCACCTTCCAGAAGCCCTACCTCTGAACGTGTGACTCTCTTGAGGACATTTTTTTAAATCCAAACCATAACAATGGTGTGGTAAGAATGGGTATCCCTTTACCCTTCACAGATGCACTGGCCAAGGACCAAGGAGGTGAAGTGAGTTGGTGGCCACCTGGCCAGTAAATAGAAAGCTGAAGAGAGGTCTGTTTTAAGCCACATCTATGCTGTTCACTATTTCATTTCCCGCCCCCAGTGTGTAAGAGCTGGCACCGAACAGGTACTCAGTAAATGCTGAGTGGACTGGAGTTTGAGATTCCCTCTAGAGAGGGGAGAGCATACTGGGGAAGATACAAGAAAGCCCCTCTATACCTCTTCCCCATCTTCGCTCCTGGCCATAGGATCAGAAAGGACAGTCCATTTAAACTGGAGGATGCTTTGCTCCTTGGGAAAGTCCTGTTTCCTTCTGGGGTTTATGGCTGAGGCTTTCTTTGCTGAGCTTTCAGATACAGAGCTTTTCCCTTAGAAATACGGAACACATCAAAGTCTCTTTCTTAGGGTTCTCAGGCTGGGAGGCAGAAGGGAAGGAAAACGGCCCAGCTGGAGCACCTGCAGTTCTCCCACTAGAGAACTTAAGTAAGAGCCTTCATGGGCGCATGGGCTGGAGGCCCGAGGTGGCGTGCTCTTGTTTTTCACATACCCATAGTACACTGTACAGGAGCTGTCCCCTCCCAAACAGGCTGCTCAAGCCACTCACACAAATCATTCACTCAGCAGTGAATCTGCTCCGTTCTAAGACTTCTGATCACCCCGCACCACGGTCACAGGGACATTCACCCAAAGAGAAGCCAGGAGTATAAGTATGCATGACAGGGCGGGGCAGATAGAAGTGAGAGAAGTGGGTTGCCTGCTGTCAGCATTTGAGAGGAAGAGAGAGCTTTGAGGTGGGTACCTCAAAGGAGGCTTTCTGGATAGGGTGACAATTGAGTAAGCTGAATTTCCAGAAGGCAGAAGGTTTGCACCAGAACATTCTTAGACCCCAGAGGAGAATTTACTTTTTGAAGTTTATTTTTAGATCTGTGATGGGTGATCTTATCCTTGAAATCTCATATCAGGAGTCTTGACAAGGCTTCTAAAGAGTGATCAAGGCAGAGCCTCATGTTGTACCTTAGTCACAAAGCAGAAGTCTTATAGGCTGGTAGGCCAGCTTGCTCTGGCCTAGACTTCAGACACTCCTCTCTTCCTTGAAGGATTTTCACTGTCTTTGTGCATGGACTGAGACAGTCTGTGTTTTACGTGGTTTTAGAAGACAGGAATCAGATTTGGGATGTAAAGAACCACTTACTGGTTCTGTAGGTCTTGGCTTTTTATTGATAGAACGGGAGCAACCCTAATACCGTCCTGTAGGAGTCCAACGCTGTTGTAAACATTAGGAAAGCTATATACACTAGGTGCTCCCACACATGACAGCCACTATTTATATCAGTTAAATGCCACGAGGAGGAGGAATTCCAGGGCAGAGAAGGAATCCTAGGTCCTCTTGCTCTGCTGGCATCCTGGTGGCCATTGGGCAGCAGTGGCTCCATCACTGCCCTGGTGCCCTGGGCTCTGGACAGTAGCCTGGAATGCCAAGGGTGTGAGGGAAGAGAGGTGGTACTCAGTCTGCCCGGTAAGCTGCTTCCCCTTCTGGATTCTGTCCCAGGTTCTGTATGTTTCTATTAAAATGCTGCCTGAGGACAGCTGGACAAAGCAAATGGCCCTGCCCCTTCTCACCTTGTCCCTGTCCAATGCTGTTTGCTCTCTGGGGCGTCACTCAGCTGGGACAGGTTGTATGAGCTTCCAGGTTCTCTACCTTCCCATCAAAGGGCATCCCACAAAGCTGCCTCCTGGCTCAGGATTCAATATTGCTTATCTTTTGAGGTATCAGTCACATTCCATGGCCTTCTTGGGGACTCCCTCACCCACTGGAGCCGAGGTTTCAGCCACTGAATTGCCTCAGTGACCTCCAGGCCTCCAGGGGTGGAAAGTGTGGCTGGAGGGGAGGGTGTGAGAAAGAGCTGATGAGAAGTGAGGCTGGAAGACAGATGTGCGCCAGATGGGCTAGACTCGGACCTGTGGAGTCTTAGACAGTGTGGCCCCGGTGTGGACTTCTGCTGAAGGCAGCAGCTTGTGAGGAGGAGGTGACCCTCTTGGGTGTCTGTTTCTTTCTTCCTTCTACTCCTAACTCTTCTCCCCCAACGCCCCACCAATTTCACTTTATAACTCTTTGGCATAATAGACTGGGTTGCCTAAGCAGCAGAAAGCGATGCATCTTCCACCAAAAGTACCCATAACACTGACTTCACACCTGGATGTGCCTGATGGTGTTCAGAGCCAGGGCCAAGGCAGCCTTTTGAATAGTGCAGCAGCCGTGATATGAATCCAGTTCTTCAGACTCTGTGTCTCCTGTATAAAATACAGGACTCTCATGAAGAAGAGGTGAAGCGGAATACTTTGTACACCGTGAATTTCATATTTCTTTCCCATTGAATGCCCCTATTTTGAGTTCACTGTAGTTCCCTGATCCCTGTAATAAAATCTTTCTCCCATTTTACAGATGAGAAAAACTGAGGCTTAAAGAGACTAAGAGACCTGACCATGGTTATGTGGCTAATAAGTGGCTAAATCTAGACTGACTTCCTAGCTTTTTCACCCCCATAATATATTTGCTTCAAAAGATGAGGCTCTCTGTGTACATGGCTTACATGGATGGTAGATTTATTTACCTCCAGGACTTGCCATGTTTATGGTGTCGCCAGAAATTGTATTTGCTTTACTGCGTTGTAAACAGCATCTACTTAGCCACACACCCTAAGGGCCTGTACGTGCTTGCTCCAGGTTGTGAGTTTTTCAGGTATAAATTGATGATGATAAGAATACCTGTTGCTCTGGGTAATTGAAAGGAGTAAATAAAATATTTATCTCAATCTTATCTGTAAAATGTGAAAAGGAGTACCTACTCTGTAGAGAGTTGCTGGGATTCATTGAATTACTACATGTCAAGGGCTCAGAATAAATACTATGTGCTCAATAAATGTTAGTGGTGATTTTCAACCATCCAGATGGCAGCATGGCTCATGTTACTCAGAACTCACCTTCCCCCTGGGGTCACTTGGTCTGCGATTTCACCACTTCCCCTATGTTCACAGGCCACAGTCTCCTTCCTGGACTATTGTGCTCTTGGATTTATTAGCATCTCACCTAACTATATATATTTACTTATTTCCCTAGTTTGTTTCACTGAGGAGTACTATTTTATATGATCAGGGGTGCTGGAACTGTAGCAGGCATCGGGATTTCACCAGGAGGCCTTGTGAAATCAGCTTCCTTGGCCTCACCTCAGCGTTCTTGATTCAGTAAATCTAGGGCAGGGCCCCAAAACATTCTTCTAAAATACATTCCCAAGTGCTGTTGGAATTGAGGCCACCATGCTTTAAAAACTAAAGCCCTAAAATTATGATAGAAAGAGGATGACATTGATGACATGGGCAGCTAGCATTTTTTTAAAATCTTATAAATTATGACCTCTCCTAGAACTTAAGCTCAGCGGATAGAGGTGAGAATTTTCATTCTGTTCACCACCCCCACTCCTATGCCTCTACAGTAGTATGTGCTCAATAATTAGCGGTTGACAATATTGATTGAATGCACTGATTTGTATGATTCGCCTGTGTCTGATGCACGTCTCATTCCCTCCCCAGTGGTCTGGCTCAGCCCTCCGGACCACCTCTCCAGCCACAGGCCAGCGCCCAGTGTACTGCCCCCCTGACTGTGCGTATTTGTGCCCTAGATCACCCAGGCGGCCTGCAGAACCACCCCCGGCTTCGGACGCCGCCCCCGCCGCTCTCACACGCCCACACCCCCAACCAGCACCACGCGGCCTCCATCAACTCCCTGAACCGGGGCAACTTCACTCCGCGGAGCAACCCCAGCCCGGCCCCGACAGACCACTCGCTCTCCGGAGAGCCCCCCGCCAGCAGCGTCCAGGAGCCCACCCACGCCCAGGACAACTGGCTGCTCAACAGTAACATCCCGCTGGAGACCAGGTGCACGCCGAGGGCTGGCGGCTGAGTCTGGGCCGCCAGGGGAGCTGAGATCCAGGGCTTTAGGGAGCCTGTTGGGGTATCTGTGCCTCCTGCCCGGCCTGTGAGGCTGGGGTCGGGTGCACAGCCTTGGGATGTGATTCTCTGACCACCTGAGAAAAGGGTGGTGGGCGGAGCAGAAGGAGCATGGGCTCTGGGATCCACCAGACCTGAGGTCCGGGGATAGCCTGCGGCTTACTGAGGTACCACCTGGGGCAAATCGCCAGACCTCCGTGCCTCATTGCCCTTGTGTACACAGCGGTGATGACGCAGAGCTCCTGTAGAGGTAAATGAGAGCTGCTGTATGGGGAGGAAGCCGGCACAGGTGTGTGGCCAAGCAGGTTCTCAGTCCAGGTTTGATTAGGACCCTCACTTCTCTTGTTCCTCCGTGATTTCATCCTGCTATACCTAACATCAGGCCTCCCTGGCCTGGGGTGGGTGCTCAGTACACATCACCACAGCCACTCTCTCCTCCCACGAATACCCAGAGCCCTAGTAATCCCTAAGATCCATCTGTCAGAGTGGCTGCTGGGGCCGGTGTATGTATGATGGGATGTGATTCTCACGCCTTTGTGAGACGGGTCTTGTTATGATGCTACTCTTCAGGAATTTTGGAAGCTGAGAGTCGGAAGAGTCCAGCACGAGCTCAGAGGCACATAAGCAGTTGATAAATTGCTCAGATCTGAACCCAGGTTGCCTGATTTCCTGACCAATGCTGTTTCCTCCTACCACTGACACCTTCAGCGGACCGCTCTCTTCCTCCACCCACGCTGTGGAATGCTGCCCTAGCTCAGGGGCTTCAGCCAGTTCCTTCCCTTTGTTTAGCCAGTGTTCTATTTTTCCAAAATGGAATTTGTTATGAATATAAACATAATGCAACTCACTAGAAAAAATACAGAAAGATACAAGGAGGAGGAGTAGATTCACCCATAGTCTTTCTGTTCTTGTCTCTTTCTGCTCTTTACACTGAGGGTGAAGCATCCTCTGCTAGCACAGTGGGAACTTTTCACCTGATACCCTGTCTCTTAAACTAGTGGCAAACTTACATTTTATTTTCTTTTAACTCCTTGCTTTATCTGTGAAGAGCACAACAGTCACACCACTCTTGAGGAAGTGACATAAACATGTTGGACATTGGGCTTGAAGAGTCCAATGAAAGAAGATTCAACATCCTTCTGTACCATTTTTTTCCAAAAGCACATTTCTCAGAGATGGGGCTCCACTAATGCCCACCCCAATCTCTTCACTAATAGTGTTTCTGTTGACATCCTTTACAACACTATGCAGTTTTCCTTATGTACCTCCTTTGCTCTCATCCGTTACAGAGCGGGATAATTGTCTGTCATCCTGCCCAGGGTAGCTAATCAGGTCTCCATTATTTCTAGTGTGCTTATCGAGTGGCACACGGCTGGAAGAAGCCAGCAGCTAATCAATGGTTCTGATTCTCTGCCTGAACCACGGCTGCCGCTCCCTCTGTTTAGATGTTCACTTTTTTCACTTAGAAGTAAAGTAGGACTTCCTACTTTGAGTCACTAGGGTTTTCCAGAGTAAGGGTGGTAAGAGGACCAGGGAAATTTTCCTAATAGTTTACCATGCCCCGTGCCTTTGCCACCATGCAAAGGTGGTCGTGACCTACCTCTTCTGCCTCATCAATCTGGGCCTCACTTGCCTTGCTGATCCTCCATCCTCCTATGTCCATTGCTCAAACTTTGTTTGATTTCTCTTTGTAGTTTATCACTCAAGTAATAAATGTTCATTGTAGATAACAAATGAAATACACAAGAAGAAAATTTATATCTGCCACCAAAAGGTAAATATTGTTAATACGTAGATATATACCCACATACATAATTTTACATGTATATCCATTTCCATATTAGTAATAACATATATTAGTATATCCATTTCCATAACATACATTAGTGATAAATATATTTAATATTCAGCATATGTATAAACAGGTATGATCAGCATTTCTCCCAGTCGCCAAGCCCTTTTTTGTCTCTGTGCCATTGCACTCTTGCACACCTCTGCAAGACTTTCTCACTTCTTGGTCCATCTAAGCCCTACTTATTCTCAAAGCCCCAGATAAAATGTTTGGGAAAGCCTTCTTCTGTGATTCCAAAGTTCTGTGCACCTAAGGATGGCATGCAGCTGAGACAGCATAACAGACTTCTCTAAAGTTTAGTGGCTTAGAAGACTTCCCACTGATTAGCCTTCACAGTGTGATCTAGGAGTTCAGAAAGGGCTCAGCTGACTCCTCTTCTGCTCCATGTGGTATTGCTAGATTCAGTCCATGGTCTTTAACTCGCAACTAGAATAGTCCAAAGAGTGCCAAATGGCTTTATTCACATGCCTGATGCCTGTAAGCTTACAGCCTTGCCACACAATGGTCTTCCTAGCAGGATAGTTGTACTTCATTCTCAGTGACTCAGGGTTTCAAGGCACCAAGACAGATGCTTTTGATCCACCTAAAGCATTTTGATTCACCCTGGAACTGCCACAACATCACTTCCACCATATTTCATTGGTCAAAGCAAACATGGGCCAGCCAGCTTCAAGGGGAGTAGAAGCAGATCCTATTTCTCATGGGAGAAGTGTCAAAGATATTTTGTAGCAATCATTTTTTTCTACCACACTGTTATAAGGCTGTTTAGCAATTACATTAAGATAATATCTGAAAATGTTTAAATGTCCCACTACATATTATGCAGTACTTATTATTTAATAAATGTTCACTGAATGCCAACTGTGTGCCTAACAGCTAAGTCATTTAAGAGAACAGGCTCTTGCAGTAGGATAAGTGCTATGCCAGAGGTAAGCAAAGGGAGTGTGCTGTGTTTTCCTTGCTTTGGGATGCCCAGACCACGACACAGTGCCACATGTTGCCAGAACATGGTGGGTGCTTGGTTAATATTAATATGCAAGTGAAGTGGATGAATGATGGAAAAATTGGATAAATAAATATACCTACAGGAGAGTTGAGTGGGGAAAAGGGACACTTTCCCAGTGGTCCTGGTATTCTGGGACTGAGCTAAAGAGGAGTCAGGAGTCATCCAGGTGTCAGAGGGGAGGACGAGAGTACCTGAGACAGGCATAGTCTGAGCAGAGGCCTACAGGGCCAAGAGAACAGGTCCTGCTTGAGATAGTTGTCCTCAGCAGCTCTGGCCAAACCCGTGAGAAGAGGAGCCTCCTGGTGCCACAGAAATAGTCGCAGGCTCTTCCCTAATTATCAGTCTGAGTCCATGTTTAGAGTCTGAAGTAAATAACTGAGCAAATACCATAAAGCTGGTAGAATAGCCAGAGGGGATTACGTTCCATGCTGGCAGAAAGACTAGCAGAAGCATGAAGGAGAGAGAGGGCTTTGGTTGACCTGCTCCATTCTCTGCATCCGTTATCCCTCTGGCAGTCTCCAAGGTTAACTGTGTCCCCCAGGGAGGAGCCTGGGTCTGCTTGAGCTCCCTAGAGCCAGGTAAGATGTTGCTTGAAGCCCAGCAGGTATGTCCGTCATCCATTTTTCTGGGAGCCATGTGTTCAAGCTCCCCAAACCCTGATCCACTACTTTTCCACTCTGCAGCATTACACACTTAATTGATTTCTTGGGGACTGTCTGATTAAGGCTTCTGTCTGAGGAAAGCAAAGCCACAGCAGAAGGCAACCAGACCTCTGCTCTAGCTCAGCTGATCTGAGGCCTCGTTTGGAAGCCTGGAGTCCATTTTGTGGTCATAGTGAATTTGGAGAACAGCTTGTCTACTGTCAGGGGTGGGGGCTACCTAATGTTCTCTAGGCAAGTGCTAGTATGGTCCCAGAATGGCAGAAGTCCCTTCTAGTGGGCCAGATCAACCCCCAGCAGTGCAGGGTTGGATGGACGGTCATCCCTGTCATTTGGTGATTCAGTCACAGACAAGTGTAAGACACAGCCCACTGCCCTGCCGCCTAAGAAGCTCACAGTCTGTTGAGGGATGCAGACTGGGGAAATGAAGACAGACACTGCAGATGGTGCTCTGATGGAGCCAGCACTCTGAGCAGAGGCCGATGTGGTCCTCTCTGCTTGGGGGAATCGGGTAGCAATCAGCAAATGCTCAGGCCCTTAGTGGGAACAGCCAGGTGCTGTTCTAAGTACTTCATGCTTTAATTCTTACAGTGCTCCTCAAGACCACCCCCTCGGTTTGATGATTTGCCGGTTGGCCTCATGGGATTCAGCATATAGTCATACTGATGACTCTGATCTATTACAGAGAAAGGATACAAAGCAAAATCAGCAAAGGAAAGGTGCATGGGGAGAAGCCTGGGACTTTAAACCAGGCCCAAGTTTCCGGCATCCTCACTCCGTGGATTGCCACAGGACAGGCACACTTAACTCCCCAAGCAACTGGTTGTGGTAATCCATGAAATGCTGCCAATCATGGAAGCTTGTTAGAGACTCACTGCCCAGGCTTTTTACTAGGGGATGGTCACATGGGTATTCCCTACCTGGCACATAGCCAAATTCCTGACTCTCAGAAGACAAGCAGGTGTTCAGCATAAACCACACTGCTTCCCCAGTTAATTTAAGCACAGTGAGTCAGCTACTCTTGTCAGCTCATGGTGGCCACCCTCCTGAAACCCAAGCTGCAAGATGCCAGCCCAGAGCCAGCCTGGTAAGCAGATGCTCATAGCAGTCAGTACTTCATGTTTATTCTGTCCTGCATTGGTGGGTAGTCTTTCAGCATCCCCACTTCAGAGATGAAGGAACTGAATCACAGAAAAGTTAAGATATCACAGCTAAGCAGTTGGTAGGACTGAAATTCTCAGCTTGGCTGGCTCCAGAGCCGTTGTACTCAGCCACTGTCCAATACCAAATTCCTAATGGTTAAAACTAGCTTTTCAGGGCATGTACTGGTAAGAGTCTTCAGGGGAGAAAGCAGTTCTGAGCTGCACGACAGAGGGCAAAGATACAGAGCCGGAAGGGAACATGGTATTTTAGAGATGGTGCACAGTGGGTAGAAGCAGGTATAGATTTGTGAGGAGAAGAGGCAAGGACCTGGGCAGTACACTGTCTTTATTTATTTATTTATTTATTTATTTATTTTTGGTACCGAGAATCGAACTCATGACTTCAGGCTTGCCGGGCAAGCGCTTATGCTGCTGAGCTATATCCCCAGCCCCAGTACAGGGTCTTGAGTCATGTGAAAAGACTGCACTTGTCCCTGTGGATACAAGGGCAGAAGGGAATAGCTGTCAACAGCTTTTAAACTGGAGAGTGGCATAAAGGGATTGGCCTTTTAGAAGGATCACTGTGGCCTGAAGGTCTGGGTTCATGTGTTTCTTCATTCATTTCTTCAAATACCAGGCCAGCTCCATACCTGTGTGTCCTTGGCAGAGTCAGCAACCCCTACACACGGGATCTCTGCCAACAAATGAAGGGTGTGACCCCTGCCTGTCTGCCCCACTAGGTGGTTGGGAGAATCAGACACAGTGGCGGCCATCCCTGGGCTCTGCGGGTAGGAGCATGGCTCCGTAGAGCTGGCTCATTGTGAAATGCACTGTTGAGCAGGACAATCCCAGAGACCCACTGCTGCTTCAGCTTCCAGGTACTCCCTTGCCAAGGTCACACAAATGGACCTGGAAGCCCCGCTTCAGCCGGCTCTAGTCCTCTCCCCTCTCTGTGAACACCTCTAAGAACAGCACAGTGCTTGGCTCCAGTTCATCTCTAGGAACTCAGTAATCCCTGTCCTCAGATGCAGCTGGGCCTCTGAGGTCAGAGAGATGTGGTTTGAGTCCCCTCCCTGCCTTTTCCTTGCCATATGACTCTGAACCATCATTTGACCTATCTGAGCCTCAGTTTTCTTATCTGCGAGTGTCAAGTGAATCAGGTGCCCATACTTGAGCTCCCTGCAGTAGTTAAGAGGAGAGACCACAGAAGGCATGACCCAAGGTGGCTCAGCAGCTGAGGGGTTCCACAGAGAAACCTTCTGCCGGAGAATGGGATGCCCAGCATGTGGGAGCAAAGGGGAGGAAGTTTAAGCAGAGTCTTGAGCTGGGAGTCAGGGTGCCTAGGTTTAGCCTCAGCTCTGCCACGGACTTCCTGTGGGAATGGGAGCAGGGTCAAACGCTTTCTGGGCCTCAATTTCTTTGTCAATGAAATGAGGCAAAATAATTTCACCCAGAGCTAAACTAAGCTTTACAAGTACAGAATGAGGCCATCTCGAGGCAGTAGATGCATTCTGAATAGCCATCATATTTTTAGCACAAGGGCTCACCTCCCCTAAACTCCCTAGTGACCTGAACAGTTAGCATCTGAGTGGGTGCTCTTTCAGGAGCTCTGCCCCCCTGTTGCTTTTTCTTGATGCTGTAGTGTTACCCCTCCCCTTATCCTAGCTAATTGGTATTTTTAAGAGATACTTGTCAATTCACTCTTTTTCAACTCTTTCCTTCTAACTTATAAAAGTTAAAATAAAAATCACTTAATCCAGCTACTTGAAGATCCCCACTGTTCACCTTTTGATCTTTCTTTATCCTTTGTGGTTTTTTTCTCTGAGTTTACTGGTTTACTTATTTATTTATGGTTTCAATGTGCAGACATGGCTGTCTGGGAGCAGAGGCAGCCAAGCTCCCAGGTGGTCCAGGGAGACAGCATGAACTCTTCCCTGAACCCTGTAGGCAGGGTAGGTGGTGCTGCTCATGGCTGGACCCTATGGGCTGTAGAGAGACTGCAAGTCCCTCTTGAAATGCAGGGTAGTGTAGAAAATAATAATGAACACCACACTGTGCTGTCTTCCCTTAAGGACTGACATGCACCTGCTCTGTGCGAGACAGAGTTCCCTGTAATATCCTGAATCCAGCAATATTCAGTACACATTTACTTCCCACTGCTACGTGGCAGGCATCCTGTAAGACTCTCAGCACATAGCAGTGAACAAGGCAGATAAGACTCCCGGCTGGTAGAACTTGAATTGCATTAGGAAGAGACATAGCGAGCAGATAAACATATGTGTTTATTGGTTCCCCATCATCACTTGCTGACCCCTCTCTCTGCCTTATTTTTCTTCACAGGATTGACTCTGTGTGTGTGTGTGTGTGTGTGTGTGTGTGTGTGTGTGTGTGTGTGAAAGCTAAACCAATGCAAGAGGCCTGAAAGTGATGGGAAGACTGGGGTGACAGCTCCTCTAGTCAGGGTGAGAAGGAGACAATCCATACAGACGTTTGCAAGAGGACAGTTCAGGCAGATGAAAGCAAAAGCATAGCTTATTTGAAAACAAATGAGGAGGCTGGTGTACCTGTAACATGGCAAGTGAGGTTTGAGAAGTATAGGGAGCCAGATCTTACAAGATCTTGTGGGCCCTGTTAAGGATGAGGGAGGGGCAAGGGCAAAGAAGTGACCTGATCCACATTACACTGTAGGTTCTTTAAGGTGCAGTTAACCCCTTTTATGGATGCTCAGAATAATTGAGTCACCTGCCGAAGACAGGTGACTGCTAGATCTGGGACCTGAACCCAGATATGTCTGGCCTCAGAGCCTGTACACTTCCCACTAGGCCACCTGGCTGCTCATCTGCAGGGCCACCTGCCTGGGAATAGAAATGAAATCACTCTGATTTCCACACCTCTGCAGCTCCCCGCAAGCCACTGGGGGAGGCTCAGGGGCTTGAACACTGCCTGGCACTTAGGTGTTGTTCCAGGATCCACCCAGAGGGAAGGCCCCTGTAGTGCTTAGTGGTCCCACCTGTAAACAGGGTCCCCTTCTGCTTTCAGCATCCCCAAGGATGTTAACAAAATGGGGTCTGAGGTAGTGCTTGCAGCTTGGTCTTGGAGGCTGACCCATGGGTGATAGTCACAGACTGTGCAGAATGAAGCCAGGTTCTGAAGCAGAGAGGGCCTGAGCTCTAGGCTCAGACAAGCCTAGGTTTCCCTGCCAGGTCTGCTGTCTTCACTGTCTGATAAAACTTCAGAAAAGTTATTCCTCAGGGCCTTGCTTTGCTATCCTACAAGGTAGAAATGGCAATGTTGACACTGCAGAGTGGTTTTAAGAATAAGTTTTAAGCTAAACAGTTACAGAGCTCCTGGAATAGTAAATAATATATGACAAATGTGGGGTAGATGGGACATATGGTGCTTCACATTAGCACTTCTATCCTATTTGTATAACTCTTAAAAATTCACCCAACATTGTCCCAGTCAGCCCTCACAGTGACCTGGTACTGTAATTCCCATTTTCCAGAAGCAAGTAAGATTAAGAGAGGTTCAGTTTCTTACTCAAAGTTGCATAGCAAGAAGGTGACATAAAAAGGATGTGAGTCTGGGTAAGTATTCTCAAGACCTATCGGAGTGAGAAGAAAATTCCCTGGCAGGCTGGGAACCAAAGCTGGCTTCCTGCAGTCAGCCTCCCGCAGGTGTGTGTAGCAGGCTGATGCTCACTAGCGTGTTAGAGAGTCTCCAATACGAGGTCTTATAAGGTGGCAGTAGTCGTGAGACTAGCAGAAGACGGGAGCCTGCTCACCTGGGTGCACATGACAGCATTCAGCAGGCATGGTTCAGTACTAACAGGACAAATGTTACTGTCTTCATTTGGGGTTAGATTTAGTTGAAGTCACTTAATGCTGTGCTACCCTCAAGGGACAAAGAGCTTACATACCCTGTGTCTTTGGTGGGGTGCCATCCTTTCTAATCAGTCCTCACCTGGATCCTCACACAGCTGAAGGCCAGGCGACTCCAACCATAGTCAGCATGAACCTGGAGGCTGGAGGAAAATACATATTTTAAGCCCGTCCCCAACCCACTAGTTCTGAGTCTCTTGAGACAGTTCTGTTGCTCACTCAAGTTTGAGGACAATTGCTTTAGAAGGTGATGGCTAAAGATGGTTGGCTTTCTTGTTTCTTTAGACGAGCCTAATAAACACCTCTGGCTCTAGTTTAAGCAGTGAATAGAGAAGAAAACCCAGGATGTGGATCCCGACAAACCTGCATCCAAACTCTTGCTTTGAGTTGTGCTCGCTGATGGCCTTGGCAAATCCTAGTACTGCTCCATAACTCAGTCTTACCATCTGTAAAATGAGGATAACACTGTCTTCCTCGTGTAGCCTAGTTTGAAGATTTGGGAGAATGGAGGTAATATGCCTAATTTAGTGCTGGACACACGTCAGCCCTCAGTGAGAGCTGTGATGATACACACATCTGCCAGACATTTGGGTTTGTATAGCAAATGCTCCCTCGGGACGCTGTGTGCCAAGCAGATCCTTTGCACACATGGCTTACACACTGACCCATTGCCTGGAGTCTGTGTCCTGCTGGTCTCATGCAAGCTGCACCGAACAGCCACTTTATTTGTTTCTCTATATCCCCCTTCATCGATGCATGACTCATTGCTTCATTCATGTCTCCATGTGTGTGTAGAAACCTAAGCAAGCAGCCATTCCTAGGGACATTGCAGGACAACCTCATTGAGATGGACATTCTCAGCGCCTCCCGCCATGATGGGGCTTACAGTGACGGGTAGGTGACATCCCCATGCTCCTCCTCTCTGTGTGTGCTGTTTCCATGGCTCCTGCACTTGCATGCATTTCCTGAGACCTTTTCCTGGGACCCCTAGGGGAAGTGGTGCCATGCTTCATGCCTGTCCCCAAGTCCATGCTCAACCTGTAACAGTTTGTCCTTGGAACACCCTGTCCCTGGCATATTAACATCTGCCTTGTTAATATGCAGCTCGCAGCATCTCATTGGCTGCTTCACCATTCTGAAAATCATCTCATGTAGCAGTGTTTGTGCAGCACAGTCTCTGCATCATATGGATTCTGGCCCTGAGTGTGTCTTCTTTGGCCTGAATCAACTCGTACCCCAACAGGAGTGGGTTTACTCTAAGACTTCTGGGGGTATACAGTGCAGCCAGTGCACCCCATTTTCCAGGCTGTATGCAAGTCCTCACATGGTCATGGTTAAAGTCACACTGTGGAGGAATTCCTGACACCTGATTTGGCCACAACCATGTGCTTTGACCATCCTTGCTGCCCTCAGGTGTGCAGCTAGGCTGTATGATGCAGCTGCCTGGCTATCCTTCCACCCAGCTCTCACCTGGCTCTTGGAAAGAAGCAGCCTGGTTTCCAAGCTGAGTGTCTTGCAAGCATCTGTAGCACCCACCAAAGGACTCTTAGCCATGGGCACAACTTGTGATGGTTTCTTGACTTTCACCCCACCAAAGTTCCCTTTAACAGGAAAGATATTCTATCTGGATACTGGGCATGCTCCTATAGTCTCAGCAATTGAGAAGCTAAGGCAGGAGGGAGGGTTACAAGTTTAGGGATAGCTTGAGCTATTTAGTGAGACCTTATCTCAAAAAATAAATAATAATAATAATAAAATTGGAAGTATTCTAATCCTTAACCAAGATACACAGCTAATGCAGGTATTGGAGGAAGAAGAAAACTGTTAGGTCCCAATTATCTCCAGGGGACACATGGATTTTAGATACGTTCCAACTTACCACAGTAATTTCAAAAAACAGGTAGTTTATTTCCTAAGACACATCCTCACAGCCCCATCTTTTCCCAGGAAAAGGACCCAGAACAGCTTCTGTCGAGTAGGTGGCACCATCTGCCTTGGCTAGGGGGGGCTCTCCCATGGGAAGGGCTGTCCCCATCGTGTTCTGTGGAAATATGTCTCCTTGTGCCCCATTTTGTGGCCTAGTGTGTGACTTTCCTCTCGCCGTCCCTGCCATCTCCTCTGTGGTGACTCTCTTTCTCTCTCTTCAGGCTCCTGTGCATGCTTCTCCTCCTACTGCCCCTGTCCTGCAGGTTGGTGCTGGTGCCTGGTCAGCTGGCCAGTGCTGACGCAGTCCACCTCTCTCCATCCACAGGCACTTCCTTTTCAAGCCTGGCGGGACCTCTCCACTCTTCTGCACCACGTCCCCAGGGTACCCCCTGACGTCCAGCACCGTGTATTCGCCTCCACCCCGGCCCCTGCCCCGCAGCACATTTGCCCGGCCGACCTTTAACCTCAAGAAGCCCTCCAAGTACTGCAACTGGAAGTGCGCAGCCCTGAGTGCCATCGTCATCTCGGCCACGCTTGTCATCCTGCTGGCATACTTCGTGGGTAAGCACCCCTCACCCCAACTCCCCTTGGCTCCCCTTAGCCCAGAGGGCAGCTACCAAGACACCTGCGGGCACTCGAGACTCCTCGCCAGCACTGCAGTCCCAGCTTGCTGTGTGAGCTAAGCAGGCCTGGGGTGCTAGACTGCTATGTGCCCCAAGACATCAGGGCCAGCCCTCTGGAGCCCCTCTTCCTTCCTCCCTGTACTTAGACCAAGAAGGAAACTACAGTCTGTGGTTACATCATCTGCCTGGCATTGGGCATAAGCATGCAGTAAAACTAGCCTCGGTGGCAGGGGTCTGTGGTGTGCGCGTCACAGTTGGCATTCATACAGATGAGATGACGAGTTGGAGAGGCTGGACAGTAAGCAGGCCCCTCCTGTTGGCATCATTTAGCTGCAGTGAAGAGCAAGAAGGAGGCGAAGTGCCTTGGGGTTGGAGGGGCACTGCCAGGAAAGCATGTCGGATGGCGAGGGCCTGCCAAGGCAGTCTGCTCTGTAATTGAGCCAGGATCAGAAAACCAGAGAATCCCAACTGCAGAGCAGCAGGTCCCCATGAGCAAACAGAGTTGCTGAAAGAAGCCCAGAGACACCTTACCTAACCCCAGGGCACGTACACGGTGTAAGAAACTCCTCATGGCCCCCTGCCCTGCTCCAACAAGTGGCTCCCATTCTGCACTGTTTCGATGTATTTCTCACATAATTTGGGTTCCTAATTCTGACCTCTGTCTTGAGTCTTCGCCCAAGAAAGTGATTAATCTGAAGAGAAATATGCGCATTATGTAGAGTCTGTGGCCTCTGGAAGATGCAGCCTGTTAATAAAGGTATCCGAAGGGATCGTAGCTTAGCTGTTGATGCCCTTCCCAACCTTAAGGTTCTGTAATTCTAAGACTTCATATAGGTCAGGTCAGCTGGAGAAGGCCTTGAATCCATGCTAAGGAATTCAAAGATAATCTTGTAAGCAAATGGGATTTTTTTTAAGAGTATAGCCCAGTAAGTAGTAAATCTAACTGACAGAAGCCAAACAAAGGCAAAGTACTACCCACTGTGAAAAAAGAAAAAACCCTTGTGCCAACCAAGCAAAGTCATTGTGGATGAAAGAGTGAGCTAGTACGAATAGCGAGTATGCGCTATTTTAATAGTGCACGGGGTACCTCTTGTCCAGGAACTAGCCAAATGCTTTGAATATGGGTGGAGATTTGGCCACTTTCATGTCAAAATTCTTGAATTTTATCAAAACAAGTAATCAGGTAGGCAGTGACTCAAGCTACAAAAAGTCTTGCTTCGTAAGTCCAGTCTCTCTTCTCCTTGTGAATGTAGGCTCAGGAAACTTCATGGCTCCATAGCAGGACACCATACATGTTTTATCCCTTCCTTCTAATTGTTTGGTCATTGTTGTCTAGAAAGTTATGTTGAGAAGGATTGTGAGCTATAGGCAGACTCAATAGAAAAGAGTCTCTGTGATTGATTAGTGATGCCTGTCCAGGTCACAAGAATAGAGAATATGGATTACTTACCAGTATTTGCCATCCCTTTATAAGAGGAATGGCCAAACTAGGAGAGCTCAGGCCTGCCCAGGCTCTGTGAGAGGGACATCGTTGATGTAGACTGGGTTCCAGGTAAGAGTTCTGAAACTTATGATCTATCATCAGCTAATGAAAATTTCGTCTGGCACTATCAGTGCAGTAAACTCACCAACCACTGGTATAACCTTTGCTTTTTCCTGGCATTACTGTATTTCCTAAATGAATAGACCTTTAGACAAGAACTGTCAGTTTTCAAGAATGAAGACATTTACTGAATATAGATGACAACTCATCTAGCATTGAAGCACTGAGGTTTATACCAAGTAGCCTACTGTGAGGAGAAAGAACAAATCTTCATATGGTTAAATAAACTATTTTCCATCCCATGGGCTTCTTCCTCTCCCATTTAATAAGAATATGTGGTCAGTCTTCATCTATCTAAGGACAGAGGCTACTTGTGAAAAGTAATGAGCTACCTGTCACAATAAAAATACAATAAAGCTCATTGACAGTTTAGTAAAAATAGGATTCAGGTACTAAGTGATTTTACTGAGTGACCTTCAATTTTCCTTTCAACCTTGACAGTCTTGAATCTTTAATAATTTTACAAGTTGTATTTTTCATCCAGCCAGCAATACGGAGTACCCCCTTTGAGCCAGGGACTACGCTGAGTGCTAAGTTTAAAAATGTGGTCCCCTATCCCAGGGTGTTCGGAGCTTAGAAAAGAGGTGGTCAATGGCAGCAGGTAAATCTAAATCAGGGACTGATTTTCACAGCAGCTCAGGGGCTGTGGGAATATCCACCCTGAGCCGGGAAGACTGGGGAAGGTTTCATAGGAAAGTGATGTTTGCACTGAATCTGCAAGTAGGAGTTAGCCAGAAGCAGGCATGCAGGGAGGGTCTTTCAAATCAAGTGAACTCACAGAGACTTGAAAGAGGACCACATGGTGAAGAAATGTTCTGTTTGAAGCACCTGAGGGGTTGAAATGCACCATTGGAGGCCAGTGCAGGGAGGATTTAGTCAGCTTGTGAAGATTACTTGGTGCTGAGCTGAGCACCTTATTGGGTGGGCAGCTGGGGAGGCATTGAAAGTTGTAAGCAGTGGTAGGACATAGACTATTTCAGGAAGTTAAGGATAAAGGAAGGGAGCAGCAGGAGGCAGAGCTGTTAGGAAACTTCCAGGAAATGAGTCAGGAAAAGCTGATGACTATAACGAAGACAATGATCACAGAAGTGGAGAGAAGAACACAGATCGGGGGTCAATTAAGGAGAATTGTAGGTTAGGAGGGGCCAGCTCATTGATGACGTGTCCTTGCCAAGCATGGATATATCCTCCTGATTAAATTCTGTCAGTTTGGAAACCTTAAGACTGGACTCTAAGGATCACACCCTTTGTCAGGTGGCAGGGGCTCGGGGAAGAGGGCGGCTTCAGTGTCTAACAGCCCTGGATCTTCTGCTCAGCTCTGCCATGTGGTAGCTGTTTTTCTTGAAGCAACTCCCTGCTGAGCCTGAGTTCTGACTTCCTTTTCTAGGAAATATGCCTGACCCACTGCTGCAGGAGGATGTCATGAGGTTGCAGTGAACTGGTTCAGGTGAATACACCGCAGGTGTGGGAACTGCATCCTTCCTTCCAGGGCCTGAGGAGGCACCCTTGGTGCCTGGTCTCTATCAGCTGCTGAGGGCAAGGACCCAGCGTCTTGTTGCTTGGTCATAATTACAGGCTATGATGACTAACTTGTAAGGAACTATCAATTATTAAAAATCAAATTAATTGTCTCAGCCAAGCACAAATATCCTTAACAAAGAGTCTTTTCCAGCAAACCAACTGATCTAATCAACAGGCAAAAGCACAGATATTTAATTAGATTTTTGATGAAAAATTGTGTTTAATTTCAAGTATAATCAATTATTAATTACTGTAATGAGTGAGTCTGACTGGGTTTACTAATTAACTCATTTAAAAATTATGAATAACCTTTTCATTTGTAATTATTTTCTACATCCTATCAAGTTCCAGATAAGAATTGCATCACCTCACCAGCAGAAGGAGGGGCAGAAATAGGGTGGGAAAGAGTTTTTCTTGTGCTGGTGTCTTCCCAGGGCTGCCATGTGTGGATGGTAATCCTGACAGCTCTGTTTAACATTCGTTCTCAGGGGCTGGGGACTTAGCTCAGCGGCAAAAGCGCCTGCCTGGCAAGTGCAAGGTCATGAGTTCGGTTCCCGGTACCGGAGAAAAACCAAAAAAAAAAAAAAAAATTCGTTCTCTTAGTTGGAAAGTGTTCTTAAGAAACAAGCAGCCAGTGACCTTTCATTTGCAGAGATATTTACCGGTATTTTCATAGGAAAATAGAGAAATTGGAGTCATGGCTTACCACCCACAAAGACTGCAGCAATGCTTAGGGCCTTGCCTTCTGCCACTCCTTCCTGCCCACCCTGGGTCACCTGGCTGCCCTCGCCTGGCCCGGAAACCTAGGAAAAACCCTCTCATGCCTGTGAGATCTGTATTAAGAGAAAAGATTTGCATTTTTGTGTCCAAAGATTGCCCAGTGAGAAAAGCAGCATCGAGGATGACGTTTGTTACTATGTTCTCGATTCTCTCTGTTAAAATTTTCAGGTCTCGTTAGTTTCCATGGGATGTGCCCTGCCTCTCCTTTTCTGAAGAAATCCATTTGAAGAACAGCGTGAGGGGGAAATGATGAGAGGGGAAGGTTCGTTTTAGGTCAAAGCGTGAAATGTGTACAACCATGGCAATCATGCTTTATTTTGAAGCATATTCTTGTTTCTGAAACATTTGTGGAGGGAAAAAGTGTGTTGCAGAGTAATAAAAATATCGTTGATTATCGGTTATCATTTTTAAGGGCAGTGGCTTTTATCATGTCATAACCACATGACCATTGCTAGTCTAAGCACTTTGCTTGTGTATTTTCACTGAAATCTTCCAACAGCCCTGGTGGGCTATTAGCTCCAGTTTACAGTTGATGATGTGGAGACCCCGTGACTGGAAGTAACTTCCCACTGTCAAATGGTAAATGTAATGAATGTGACCCACCTAACCCCCAGGCACTGTGGCTCTTAGACTGCTGTTTTTGATTTTTTGTTTTGTTTTGCTTTAAGTTCACAGTCTTATCTCTTGTGCTATAAATTCCCCTTCTTAATATTTGTTTTTGGTGAGGTTTTTCGTTCTTGTTGCCATTGTTTTTAATTTTGATCATGTGCCTAGCTTTGGGCCAAGTCTATGACGTGTCCCACCTCTTCGGACCCTCACAATTCTGTGGAATCGGGTCCCGAGCTTCAGCAGATGATAAATCTGAAGCCTCACCTCAGGTTCTGGTTCTGTCCCTTGCTGACTTGAAATGTTTCTTAAACTCTCTGATCCTCAGTCTCTGCTTTCTTTATGATTCTTATAATGGGCATGGCTGCGATGGTGGCCCTGCCCATCTTACATCAGGGGACACCAGAGTAGTATCCGTCATGAGCCTG